AAAAAAAAAAAAAAAAAAAAGAGAGGAAAATCAATTAGTGGGATTCCAACCCGATCTGAAGCATCTTGCACGGATGGAGGGGGTTCTTTCTCCTTCTTCACTCCGAACACCCTCCTCATGTCGCTGCTTTTCGATTTCAAACAGCTATATATTTATATGTGTATGATTATTATAGATCACAGATGAAAAGATTGCAGCAAGGTGATCGGCGAATGGATGATGGAATTGCAATTGTCAATATATTTGCGGAATAATCAATTTGGGTGAGGTTGGAGGACTCTTCCAAGTTAGGGGTGAATAGCGATAGGTAAGGACTTAATCCTCTCAAAATTATCACTATAATTAAATAGCTAAATTATCTATATATTATACATGTGCTTGTTAAAAAATTATATTTATACAAAAGTAAAAAAAAATATATATATCTTAAAACTAGGGCTGAGCGCAGGACTCGGAGATTACCGAACCGTTCCGAAAACCGAACTGAATTCACCCCAAACCGAAAAATATTCGTTGACCGTTTGACTTTATCCGAACCGAACCATACCGTATTTGGTACGGTTCTGGAGATTCATAAAATATCCGAACCGATAATCGAACCGAGCCGAGCCGAACCGAATCGAACCACACCGAACCGAGAACCGAACAAGAACCGATTTTATTTCATAAAATCCATATAAATATAATATTATGTCTCATACTTTATTTTCATTTTTGTACATATATGTATTTATAGTTGAATTGCAAATAAAATCTATATACATCAAGACTATGTTCATAAACTATCTTATATTATATTTAAAATTTTTTTTTTTTTCCAAAATGATAGAATATATAAATAAAAACACTTAATTACAAACCTAGATACAACTAGGAATAACCAAGCAGCTATCCAGCTGAATCTAAGGGAGACATACCCAAAGGTAGCCTAGAGATCTACCTAAACACACCCACAAACAGACAAACTACACAATCCCAGACAAACTACACAATCCCATACAGGAGAATCGAAAAAGTCCCATACGGGAGAATCGAACAGTCCCATACGGGAGAATCGAACTATAACACAGAAGAAAAAAACTAAAAGCCAACAAGGCAACTAAAAACACTACACAACACCAACACTAACAACACATCAACACTAGATAAATAAGAGAAAAGCCCTCCTCCAACTGGGGATCAATCAGCTACGCACACGACGGCCCGACACCTGGGGACGACCCACCCACAGGAAAGAAACCCAGCCCGAAGGAAGAACCCAAAAACTCCTGCAATAGGCTAGCTGGACCCGTCTTCTGACCAAACTCCTTGCCCAAACGGGCCCCTCCCAGAACAGCAACCGGAGCATCTTCCTAAATCCCACCGACCCAAGCCAGACATGGCCCAACCAAAGCTCTCGCTGCCCAAACCTCCGAAACACCAGAACCTGCACAGGGGACAACGGAGAAGAAGGGAAAGGGGGTGACACCCAACATCCGACCACTCACCGGAGAAGTCGAAGTCAGCCGAACTCCCACGATTCGAGAGTTGGTGAGCCCTCACCCAACTCATAGACAACCGGCGGAGCGGCGAATCTCTACAGCGAGGAGGGTCATCGACTTCGAACGGGGAGCTCAGCTCGGCCCGGTCGGCGCCCAAGCGCCTCTGAAGGCCCAAGAGGAGGAGGCGGCGGCGAAATTAGGTTTTGAAAGAGAAGGGGGTTTTTGTTCTTAGGTTTCGGATGAGCGAGAAAGTGGATTGTTTTTTATTTTCTGTTGAAAGGGAAACTTTAATGCAAAAATCCTCCACTATTGAATATTAATATAATTAAATAATTAAAAATAAAATTATTTATTTTCTTACTGCATGTGAGACATTAGTGTGAAGAAAACTAAATTATTTTACTTTTTCTATCACAAATTTTGGTAACAAACATGTCAAATATTTTATTTAAAAAATTATAAATTATAAACAAAATTCAAATTTACAATGTTTGAAAGGCTTACTTGAAACAGAAACTAACATTCCGCCTAAAAATTTCAAAATTACTAAACTTGGTAATTTTTTAAAAAAAAAATAGAAAAACTCTGGCCAATAGAGCTTTAATTTTGAATTTAAAAATATTTTGATTTTATTTTATGATAATTTTCATTTACTATGAAAAAAATAATAAATTAATTGCAATATAAATAAAAATCCTCCCTTAATATATATCACATTAGCAACACTCCATATCTATTGCAATTAATATCACTTAGCTGCAACACTCCATATATGAAATTGAAAACAAATATGCTCGATAATTATAGTATTATAATTATTCTATTATATAAATAATAAATAATTTCAAATGAATTTTTGTTATTTACACAGCATGTTATTTCACATGCATACTATTTACATGTCAATAAATCCATCTAACTTTAATTATTAATGAGAAAACTGTATTTATTTATTACATAATTAATAACTATATTTCAAATAAATATTTGTACAGTAAATTCAAATTGGACAAAATTATTCCTGTTAATTGATTTTAACTCATTGCTTTAAACACTTCAATTATAAAAACCAAGTTAGAAATTTAGGATTAATGTTTAATTTATTATAAAATTGAAATATATATATATTTGAATTTAACGAAAAATTATAAAATTATGGATTTTGACAACACGAAATTTATATAGATAAACATGATATATCATGTATTAAATATGCTCTCATAATATTTATTTGGTTTCTTTTAAAAAATAAATATTTTTTTTTTTAATTTTAACAAGTCTATTTTTATAATTTTTAACCTTTCCTGACGCACGAAGTTCCCAATAAATAATGTAACTTCGCCTTAACGGACATTCATATTGAAATTATATACCTTTTACTTTTTAATACTTTAAAGTATTTATAACGTAATTCGTCGCATTTTGGTTCTTATACTAAATACTGTAAATAGAATTTTGGGTTGCCAAAGTTATAAGAGTATAAAATTTAGTTTATTAAAAATATCACAATATTAGTATATAATAAAATTTGGTGGTTAATTTAAAAAATTATCTTAATACATATTATATGACAATAGATTTTAGAATAAAATAATTGTTGCGTATTATGATTAATAAA